AGAAAGTTCTTCAGGACCCCATCAGATTTGGGTTAGCGTCTTGGGAAAGACGTGATCTAGTCTCCGTGTGTTTCACTGCACCGTAGACTCAATCACTGTTCCTCTCAGCAGCCTTCCGCCACCTCCAAAGACTCACCTGTCTGCTACTGTCATAGAAGAAGTCATTTCTTAACACTGACGTAGTCACAGTGGTCTGAAACCTAAAGTAAGACAGTATTTTTTTTCTCAAAACATCTCCCTTGAATAATGTACTCAACTTCTGTATGAAGTGGGTCCGCTTCTAACCACGATCAAACTGGACGTTTTTATCAGTGTCTGAGCTAGTCTGAACTGTTGAAATACACAAGCATAGGCCCAGTTCTGTAGCTACAGCTACCTAATGAAATCCAACAGAATGTGACAGGATCAGATTTCAGGGGTAGTGTCATTACACGTGAACAAGGTGTTTAATTGTTTGAGGAAGCTCTCATTTTATTCATTCAGCTCCATAATCTTGTTGAAATGCGAATTGTATCTCAAAATTAACTTTAGCGTTATAAAGTTCAGACGAATTAGACTACCAAATGATTCCCCTCCCCAAAAAGGGAGAAAATGGGGAAGAAGGATTAAGTGTGTGCAAGCATGCATATGCACATACAGATATGCAGGATGAGATGCATCACTTAAAGAGAGAGTATTTCTAGAAAGCATATGATTCGTTAGCAGAAAGGCAGTGCTAATAAAAATATGAATATTGAGGTTTCTGTATTACAAAGGTCAAGTCTGTTTTTGAGAATTCAGGGTAGGTATAACGCTCACCAGAATTACACAAACAACTCTTGCTTCCCGCATGTGCACAGTTTTCTCTTTATCCTTTGCATACCTCATTGTAAACATTTCAATGAACGATCAGAAGGGGAAGGAAACTCTCGTCGTTTTAAGCCGTGTGATGTCGTGATCCACTGATAGGATATGTAAAATGTCTGTAAAATAACGTCACGGGGCCCGATCTCCCAAGGGTAAGATTGGCACAGGTATCAAAGTTGTGTGCATTTTGGAAATACCGTATTTCTTTAGGAAACACTGGATCTTCCAGTTAGCTGCAAAGCTTATGTCCTGGCCCTTCAGTAAAGAGGTTGCATGGCCTCTTATATAGCACTGTGTAAATGTTATCTTCCGTTTCGCTGCCATGGTGCACATCTTTCATCCTGCTCGAGTGACTCGGGCCCAGTGATCCAACCAGTCTGTGGCTCAAAGCATACGTCTCCCTCACATGCCATACTCCTTCAAGGAAAAATCAGATTCAATCATTGTGTGAGCAAGATGTAATCTGTAGGCTGCTATTTGATTTAGCTCAGTCTGGAGTCCTTTCCTGGCTGTAGAAGGGGGTGCAACTCCTGCCATCTAGTAGGCACAGGAGAGTGAGGTTAGAAATGAGTTAGGATGTAATGTATCAATTAAAAGGAAAGAAAATGACATGCAGAACTGTTAAGAATAGAGATCTGAGAAAGCCTTTACGTTATCCATCAATTGAAAGGAGAATTTTTACTTTTTCGTGCATTGGGATTTTATTTAAAGGCTCAAGCTGTTACTGAAGTTTGAGGCAATTTCATCTTGGAATGGTTTGAGGATCTTGGAGGTGGAGATCCAGGTTCACATAGTTGTTTTATAATTCATAAAATCTGAACCAAAAACATGACACGTCGATACTTAACGTTCTCACACTGCTACGTTGTAGGTATAATCCATTCACGGCTGGCGTCACGTTATCTGAAAGTGCTTTACGCTACAAGTTGCAAGCGAAGGCCTGTGGAATAAGAAAATCCAGGCGACGACTGTCCTTGGCAGGGTTGAGCGGGGCTAATTTTATTCAGGCTTTTCCCTTGGGAATAATCTTCCCTGTCTGCTGTGGGGATAGTGTTTACCCTTCTGAGTTTACACTGTAACGTGCAGTTGTTGCACATGAGTTTGTGCCAAAGGAGAAACAGTGATGTTTGAGTTGAGCTGATCAAGTGCAACCTACCGTTTCAGATGGGATTATGTGTCTTTTAACTGTTTACATAACCCTGGATATGAGTCACATTTTAAGACCCAATTTAAAAAAATCTGTCCTGAAATTCATAGGCTTTTGTAGACCCTGGTTACAGAAGACTCTTCCTCTGAGTCAGTCTTAGAGGAACTGGAAAATTGCCACCGCGTTCCTGAGGGCAAGGTACTGATCTTTTCAGCGTGCCCCATATAGGATGTTATTTGAGAAGAGAAACGATGAGCTTCACCGTGTTCCAAATTAAATAAAAGCCTGGCATCTTACAACAAGCTGTTCACACTCCCACCACTTACTGTTACTTGTTCTAATTCTGTACGCTTTTCAGCCTTACTCACCTCACTGGTGGTGAGATAGAGAGGGTGCTGGCCTCAGCTTCAACACCTCTGGGATGCTGAAATGCCATGGGGACGCTAGAGTGCCTTTAAGGACCATTTTGCTCTGTCAGGATGGTATCTTAACTCAGTATTGCCCTTCCTCTGCCTGAGGCCGCCTTCTGCCTGGAGGGAAGATCCTTGGCCGACTTCCGAATCCTACCTTAGGCCCCTTTCCGTCAGTGAAAGAAATGCAAGTGAGGTTTAGGATGGGGATTGGTCTGTGATGCTGCAGGGGACCAAGCGCTGAAAAACACTAGTTCAGGTCCAGTTGATGTTTGGCAATTCAGAGCCGAGATAAATGCGGCTGGTTGACATACAGAGTTTATAATCTCTAGGTACAGATTTTCATTTTTGCCAAGTAGGAACAGAGTACTGTGAAATGAAAGGCCGCCCCTTCAGAGCCAAATGATGTTCCTGTGACAGAAACCAAAGGCTTCCATTATTCTTCCGTGTGAGTGGTGGCATTTTAGATAGCGTATTTGTATAAACCGTTCCTCATGTAACTTGAGGTGCGTGTGCGGTTGCAGGCAGATGTGCTACAGGTAGTGATTCAGTCGCATCTCGTGTACGCTAATGGACGTTTTGCATGACTGCCAGTTAATGGGAAGTAGCTGAGAAGCCAGAAAGTGTCTGTAACCTGAAAGTTGCTGAGCTAGTCAGAAGCGTTTCAGATACATACAGGACTCTGTGTCTTTCTTTTTGGGTACAGTAATGCTCTCTTCCAAGTAGTCAGTGAGAGGCTTGTAGAAGCGATAATTCAAATCCTACTATTTTGTATACAAGCAGCAAATGGTATTTTTATCTAAGTGTTTGAAAGTAGTTTGCTATTCTTGTTTACTGAATGGATAGGAACAAAAATCTGTTAATGTAATGACGTACCTTGAGTGACACTTGAAATTCTAAGGGAACTGGTTAAGCTGACAAATCTGTGCAATACTGCAGATCGTATCTAACTAGATATAGAATGAATGGGGTGAATATCATTACGTGAAAAGTACTACTAAAATAGCAACTCAGCTGCTGTATGGGCAGGCTTTCAAGTAGTCATAGTTGTCATTTAGTCATTTTGAACATTGATGTGCAAGTCCAAAAAATTTTAAAAAAAAAAAAAAAAAAAAAAAAAAAAGAAATACTTCATGGAACATTCTGTATCGCTGTGCACCAGCCTCCTCTTGATAACAAGATGCTACATGATTACCATTTGGGTTCCGAGTTTGCAAGAACATCTAAAAGCTCAGATGTGAAAAAGCAGACCAGTGACTGAGTCGTCCCGTCTCCTTTTTCTGGACTCCTCTAATGATTGCTCTGCGTTTCAAAATATTTGCATGGACTCTCAGATTTTCTCACGAATTTTTAATCCAGTTTAAGACTGTGACTTTCAGAGAGTACCGTTTCTCATACTTTCTGAAAATGAGGTCTATTGAAAAACACTAAACCTTTTCACATACTGAATGTTTTTAAATTACCATCCTCTGATACCTAGGAAGAATGTCTGTGCATTTGCTTTAAGGGGTTTGGTTGGTTATCAGGACTTTCCCCATGCCCCAAACAACAACTTGCACCCATC